GCAAATTGTCTTGTAAGGACTTAACTCCTACATTTCCTTGCTTTCTACCTCCTACCTGGGCTTCAGGCTTTGCCGCTGCATCCCCAGGTAAACGGTTCATGGTTTGAAAGGCTCGCTGCTGTTTGAGGACAAGGTTAAATGAAAAGTGCAACGAAATTACTGCCAGGGGTTAGAGAGTGTCTAATGTGACACATCTTTGCTTTTTTTTTTTTTTTAACTATTGGTCAGCCTTCACAAGGAGTTTAAGGAGCCTTTGTCTCCTTGCTGAGCCATCTCACCTGGGCAGCCAGCCTCCTGCAGAGCTCTCTCTTTGGCTCCCTCGCTAAAACCGAGGCTGGCAATGGCGAGAGTGACATCCGATACGCGGATAATGGCAGCCTGCAGCTCCGTTAACATTGCCCACGGGCGTGCATGACAATAACAAGAGCAGAGCCACAGTCAGGGCACTGGATACTCCGTTGGCTGAAGTTATCATAGCTCTGCGGAGCTCAGTTCACCTTGGCTGAGGACCTGGCCACCTTGGATCTCCTTGACATTTCACACAGCTCAACGTCGAGCTCGCCGAGTTCATTCCCGGCCCTGCGGGGCCAGTTCCCTCACTTACCGAGATGGAGGGAGCCCTTCAATCCTGGTCTCTTTACCGCAACCACACAAAAGCGGAATTGAGAGGAGAGACACTTAATGTGTTTATTCCCCTTCCTCCTGCGGTATTTATCCACTCCTCCCCCATCTATTATGACAGGCTGTTTCAATCAAAATCACCCGGTACGGAAACCATACAGAACATACGGGATGCACACCATGCAGCGGTACTACCTGCAAGGCCTCCCACTGCAAAACTGCAATCGGCTGGAAACAAGTTGAAGGAACAGCACAAAAAAAAAAAAAAAAAAAATCCATGTCCCAAAAGACATGTTCTGTCAACCATGACCCCAGGGGTGGGAGAGAAAAGCAGCAGAGACACCTCAAAGGGAAGAAGGAGTCCCTTCAAGGGTGCTCTGAGGAGAACAGTGGCCAGAGGACTGGTATCTAGCAAATTTAGGTAAACTTTAGCAATATTATAAACCCAATTCATAGGCTTACATCAGCTCGTTTACTTCTTCCACAATTGATCCAATTCAGAGTTATGCATCCAACGATCTCCAGGAGAAAGTGGTGATGAAGAAGCTCCTCGAGATCTTCTCCTGCGCTAGTGTTACCTGGATCAAACTCCACAAGAATCGGCACACAGAAATACTCTTCTGATCCCACCGCAAGCAAACATGCTGGAGCTGCACATAGGGCGACAGGCCTTTCTAAGAGCCGTACTCTGGGTGAAATCTGGGGCTTTTCTTGTTGTCCTTTCTAATCTTAGTTTGTCCTGACACCCTTTCAAATTAACCTGCAGCTGACGGCGGCCATCAACTGCCCTAGCCAGCGCTAGGTGCGTTAGGGCCACATTTGACTCGCTGTTACACCAGCAGATGATTTGTCACCAAACCTACTCTAGCTGGGATAAACCCAGATCACAGGAGGACAGAGATATGTCTTATCTTGGTTTTAATTTTTTTTTTTTTTTCCCCCTTTTCTTGTTTTTGGCCAGCTAGGAAATAACTATTTTGGGATTCATGCATATTTAAGGGAAAAAAAAAGGAACAGAATCAATTACTTTGCTTAAAATGATCAAATTATTATCAGCAGCATTTTAAAATACAGTTTGTATCATATCACACACTGGACACAGGTTGCGTGCTCTTCCATCGAGTGTGTCGTCTATTGGTCTTGGTTACAGCGTGGTTTGGGAAATGTATGTGAAACCCTTTTGTTCCTTTTCTAAAAATTTCAGCGCAGCATTTGCTGGCAGAACAATTAACATATGGTGAGACATTCTTATCCAAATAACTGTTAATTGCTTTTTTTTAAAAATTAAAAAAAAAAGGAATCATGCATATGCAGTAGAAAATATAATGAGGGCTCACACAAGATACAGTGTGAAGTTGTTAAAGCCGGGAGCCGTATTTAAAGATGCCTTGAATGCAGAGCGCCTGTTATCCTCCGTCACTCGCAGGCTCAAGGAAATATCTGTTGCCTACCTGCGCCCGAAGGTCATACTTACGGCACGGATTTTGAGGTGTGCTGAGCTAACTGGAAAAGAGCAGGACTGATTTGAGGCACTGGCTGTTTGAGGCCATGTGCATCATTCGCGTGTAGGACCCACAGAGGGGCACAACACAGCACAGGCTGGGTACGGTTTAGCTTTCCCATGCCAGAAAGGTGAAGGGCAGAGGCGCAGGCGATCCCAAGGCATTGGGATGACAGAGTTAACGCGCAAACTCTGCTTCCAGCATGCACTCAAGGGAATCCAGCCAGCGCCTCTTCTAGCAGCCAGGGTTCAGACACGGCGCCTGCGTGGGGGGTCCGGGGGGGCCCTGCCGCTGGGCAAGCCTGGAGGTGGGCAACGCGCAGGGCCGTCTCTGTCAGTATTTCTGAGATTTTGGAGCATCTAGTCTTTCCAATCCCTAGCACAAGGAGGGTGGTTGTTTATCAGTGCGTGCAGATTATAATCCTTTGTGGCAGTTCATGTTCTCGAAGCAAATCTCCGTTTATATCCTAGGGAACAGTTTTAAAAAAAAGGGTGGGGGGAGGAGGAGAATGAGCTGGCTCCCACAGGTTGCCTGCAGACAGTACTATAACTGGGAAAGAAGATAAAGATGCTAGAAAAGGGGAGGGCCTGGAAACAGGCTACTGATGATATGATGCAGGAGCAAAAGAGACCCAATATAAGACAGGGACTCACGGTTCAGAAGAAACTGTTGTAATTGTAGGGATAATTGCAAAACATTGTTAGAACTGGGAAGTTATGTTTCTTTCCAACAGGCTTACAGAATGAAATGCAGTGAAGAACAAAGAGAAATTAAAGCAAAGAGTCGTTTCCCCAAAGCTCCCTCCCTCCCAACCCGTGGAGCATCTCTGCGTGCTCTTTTCTGCCAAGAATGATGCCATAGCGCCTGCCTGTCGGGTTTCCTTGGGTCTCTTCTCTCCTGCGTCCTTTCTTCACCGCAGCGGGGGAAACAAAAGAAAAAGGCAAAATTTGAAATGTCTGCACAGAACCCAGGCCCATCTTTCTAGCACATATGCCTACAGTTTCTCGTTCCGTCACGTGCAGCACGTGTATGCGTCACACGGTTTATATATAACAGCCACTATTATCTCTATAGCAAATTGACTGTGCTCAGTAGGGTTTCTTGGTTTTCCATAGCACCGTGCTACCTAGCTTGGTACCAGAGACCCCTAGCTCTGGTGGGTGCTTCGGGGCTAGACCACAGAACACACGTTAAAAGCAACACATTAAAATACTACGCATAGTAAGCAAAGGGATCTCCTTGGCTCTGAAAGACCCTAGTGAGACCCTTTGAAGTTTAACAGGCTGATCAATCCTCCCTGGGACATGATCCTTGCAATTAAAACAGCAGGAACAGGGTTGGGAGGACTTCGATAGAGAGCTGTGAAGGATTCGATGCCTGCTTCTGATCCCGCACATGCCATTAAAAATGCTGAGCAAGACACGGTGCGTCCTAGCTTGGGCCCCTTTGCTTCAGAAAGGTGCTGGCAGAGCCAGGTCTTACAGTGGAACTGAAGAGATTTATTAATTGATTGCTAATTGTGGTATTACTCCTGTGAACTCTACCTTTGTAAAGCAAAAACGACTCCAGCCCAAAACATTCACAGATTTTCATTTCCATGGGAGAATGCAGCATGAAAAATAGCCTTCCTGCAGCCCTTGTGAAAGCAGTAATAACCATCAGATATATTTTTTTAAACTGAGGAAGGGTATTAACCTTTCCATGTATTTTTAACAGCGAGGATTTCATTAGTTCCTCTTCCTTTTCTGATTGAACAGAACATACAACCAGAAGCTAGGGGAGGGGGAAAGAAGAGTTGTGGAAGCCATATTTTAATGGTGAGGGCGTCTTCTAGTCTTGCTTCAGTACTGTTTATCAGGGACCCCCATCAGGCCTATTTCTCACTCCAGCAGTATGGCAGCACATCATCTATATGCTGACAAGGACACAAAGGGCTACGCTAAGTAAGTACCTCGTATTTTAAATCTCTGTGATACAGCTGCTACCATTGTAAAGCCGCTACATTTGGTCTTGAAATGCCATTGCAAGCATAAATAACACATCTTGCTGTATATGACATTGGTATCTCACGATAACCTTATGCCAAAGGAAGCAGTGTGCATTAACGCTTAAAAAAATACTTTCGAGGGAGAACTGGCAGCTGCTTGAAATTGGGGATGAGCTTCGGACTTCTGTCTTCCTACCAAATTATTCATCTTTATCTAGGGGAGAGGCTGTTTATGCCTATGACAAACTCTGCAGCAACAACAACCGCTCCATGCTCCTGCCATAGCACTATCATTTAGTGTATAAAGCCATAAAAAGCTCCAAAAAGCGGCAGAGCTCCAGAAGGCAGCTCACTGACTTTGCCTTGTTTTTCAGCGGTATTGCTACAAGTGACGTTAGGCATCGGAGAGCCAAGGGCAATAAACCCCTTGTGACATGAACCTGTTGTTTCCAGAATACAGATCGTACAGAACTGAGCTCTGTTCCAACCGGTATAAATTGCCTGTCATTTTCCTAAGCAATGCCAAAAATTGTGCACTCGGTTACTCTTCCGTTCCTTATCTCCGTGCTGTCGTGCCTTCTGATGATCTAAGACCATGCACTGTCTAAATCCATTACAGTTGCAGACTGCTACTATAATATTTACTTGACAAATCAAGTCTACTGGATATTTTCATTTTTTTGGTGTAATACGAGCCATATTAGACAATTTCTTTTCCTTTGTATTCTGTCTTCCTTGCGTTGTTTCTGTCTTCCTTGCTTTTTGGTTCTTTTTTTGGGGGGGGGGGGGTAAATTCTAACTTTAATTAAGGTCATTTTTAAAGCAAGTTTTCAAATAGCAGCTGAATGGAAAATGGGGGGAAAAATAGCCATAAAGGTCTCACCTGTTACTTAAGCTTCCCGCTGTGTTTCCGTAGGATCATTTATACTTTCAACTTGACTATTCATTTCAGCTGAAAACAAAATAAGACAGTCAGGAAATTCTATGCATGCTATTTGCTAAGTTTATCACAACGAGTAACAACCACGTCTAACCCAACAGGGACATTTAGTGCGTTAAAAATGCTACGCCGTAAATCCGCAAAAAGGTCTCTTAGGCCAGCCATCCTAATCTGTGGTTACACGGAAACCCCGATGAGAAGTCCTGCCAGGGTGTAGGCTTCAGCATCGCTAGAAATGCAAGCCTCTGGATCTCGATTTTTCTCTTTGGTCCACATCCATCCAGTTTGACTTTGGTGCTCAACTGAGGTGCCCAGCTCAAGAGCTCAATGACCCTCCTCTGTCTCTGCAGGCCACAGGCAGAGATACAGGTATCTCCAAGGGGTGATTTAGAGTTTTGCTGGGCTAAGTGGTCTCGACCCTGTGATTTGAACATCCGCAGGCTTCTGACAAAGTCCCCGGCAGGACCCGGGGCTGAGCTGTGGGCTGAATGCAGATCCATCTCCAGTTACAGAGATGCTGCCGCTGCCTCTGGCTGTCCTTGAACTGCAAATTGCTGGAGCCCGGCAGAGGATTCAGGGGTAACATCACTATGCTCCTACACGTACTAGTTTGCTTGTGTACTATTCATTTACAAAACCAATCTTTTTTTTTTTTTCCCAGTTAAAATTACTAAAAAATAAGAAATAATTTAAATAGAAGGCTTAAACCCATTTCAGCGTGACCTTTGTCAAAAATACCATCTAAACTATGGCAGGTGTGATCGGCCCTATCTAGGCTAAATATAAAAGGGTTACTTCAGCAGTGCATTTTTAAGATCAGCATTTGTTCTGTAATAAATTTGAATGAAGCCATTTATATGAAGACTTTTTTCTTTCTTTAACCTTGCTTTATGTTGTGGTATCAACTGCAGATTACGAGTTATTTGACATGGGTGATGAGGAAAAACCTCAAACCTGAATGGGAGATTTGGAAACCAAGGAAAGATGGGAGCGGGGGAGGGAAAAAAAGACAAAAATCAATAACTATGCTACTTCTAGCCAGGCAGTATGATCTCTTTCTGAGTTAATATCATGCCAATACACCTGTTAGGGTTTTGATGAATTATTTGTAAATTATTCATCATCCATATGCAGAACAGATACTGTAATGGCTTCCTGGATGTATGCAATGAATAATAAGAAAAGTATCCGCTCCTGATTACGGAGCTCTGATGCACATCGCATTTAGCGATGTTGTGTTCTTTACCCACATTTGCATAGCAAAGACAGGATGCTTAATAAAAAATCATTAAGGGGAGGCTGCTGCGCACTGACGACAGCAGCCTTTCTTAGCCTCATTATGCCAGCCAGTTTCACTGGCTGGGTTTTCTGAAAATAACATAAGGCTTCACTCACGTTTTAGAGATATCCTGCAAAATAAAGCTTGATTCGAAACCTGTGGTTAGGCTGTGTCAGCATCCCAGATGAGTATGCCTCCTTCCCCTTCTTTTTTTTATGGCTACGAGCAGTCGGCCCCCATCATGCTGATAGCACGTCACGTAGAGGGGGGCAAATTGCAAACCGCCTGGGAACGCGTTAAGGGCAATGCGAAAGCATTGAGGAGCCCTGGTAGAGGCCTGGGACCTGGAGCCCCCGCCAGCAAGGAAGCAAGAGGAATCACTGCGTCACACTGTTCTGCAGTGGAAACGGCAGCCAGGCATCCTGCATCACCGGTGCTAAAAACATCCACCGTGCACGCCGCAGCGGGGAGGTGGCTCGCAAGCGCTAAGGCACCGGCGGGTTTTGCTGTTAGCTTTATCCTATGTGTTTGTGTCTAAGCTCGGCTCTTTGCATTAACGCTGGTAGGGACAGGAAGATCTAACTGAAGGATAAGCTTCTGCAGACCACTGGGTGAACCCCAACAACAGATGTCACTATGAGGCCACCTACACAATCCTCTATATTTAGCTAGAAAATAACACGGCAGCGGAGCACCTCCTGCAAGAGCAGATGGAAGAGCTGCCACCGGGTACGGCGGGGATGTGACTCATAGCCCTCGCTGCCTCCCAGCACGAGTCGGTGTCAGAACGATGCCGTTAGCCCTGGGCACGCTACAGCCGATCGCATCGCGAGCCAAAACTGGCCTTCTCCCCACTAAACAATGTTTTCAGAGGTGTTAAACTGCTAACTTACGTTAGCGGTCTTCTTTACACCTACCGTAATACACTACAATGGCCAGGAGCTCAGCGAAGCACCTGAAGTTCAAGGAGGCTGCACATCTCCTAAATTCAGTTTTACCTGCTCCCCCTTCTGCAGCTTCCTGCAGGGCTTTTTATGCCAGAAATGGACATTTCTGTACAATGGAAATGGACATTCCTCTGCACTCTCCCTGTGTATTTTCCCTTAAATTTTGGGCTGTTGAGGAGGACCTGTCTGTACCTCCTCTCTCAATCTGTGAGCTGCTTAGCAGCTCTCAAATTATGACCAGGGAAGGACTTCCCCCCAAAAGCAAGTTCCCTGCAAGAGGAGAAGAAATAACCCAGCACACAGTTCACATTCATCAAAGCACTGCAGTTGCCGCTGACCCGGTGGATGTGCGTTGGCAGCAAGGCATCCCGCCTCTCCCCTGCAAGAAAGCTACGTGCTTAAAGGTCAGGTAGCCAAGAGTCACAGCGTAGCATCTAAGTAGAGAAGACAGGCAAATGGGGGACTGGAAAACCAAGTTTAGAGTTGTCTGCAAGAAAGAGTGCATTTCCCCACCCCAGGATATTAAGCTGTAGACCTGGATTGCAGATGACACCAAAATATTACCGTCTTGATTTAAATAGGAGCTGGGTCGGACTCTTACTTGCAAACATAACCTGTTTCTGCAGCCACTTCCTAAACAATGCTTCCCCCTTGCATCTACATAACTTGGCTATAGCACATTCAGCTGTAACTGCAGACTGCCTAGACAGCAAACCATCTATTTTGAATTCAACCTGCTGTGCGGCGATGAAACACATGCACCTGTTTACTTGGTAGTTACTTTTTTTCTTGGATATTACATCAAGACCATAAAAAGCATGAGAATGTTAGCTGTTGAGATCTTCCTTTTATGTTGCTTTGGTGAATCACGTGAAGGTCAGGTTACTGATGGTGCATTCATCAGCCTGCACAAGCTTATAAAAAAAATGGGAAATTTCAGGTTTGACACTGCCTTCATCTTTTTCTTTTCTCCTCTTTTGTCAGCAAGTGAGGATGCCGCTTTCCACAGGCTTGAAATAGAAAAGGCGAATGAGTAACCCCATTACAAAAGGAGTGAAGAGTTTGATCCACCTAATACCAGCTGGAAGCTAACACCTACCTTAGTAATCTTTAAAGCTTTGGTGGCATTAAAAAAAAAAAAAAAAAAAAAAAAAAAAAGAAAAGAATCATAAAAAAAGGCTGCTGGCAGGGAAACATCGTCTAGGAAACCAATCACCAAAAGTGGGTTTTGTCATCATTAAAAAATACTAATCAGTAAATCTATCCTGGGTATGAAAAAATTAATATCCAGAGGTCTTCGCTCTGGTGGCCGACAGAGATTGCCAGCAGCAACCTGCATACACACCCCTATTCAGACTCACACGCGCACCCTCTGACAGCTTTTCTGATGGAGAATCACGCCCAGCTTTCAAATACTAGTCATTTCTGAAATATATCACTATTGTCATTTCTGAAATATATCACTACTACGGCCCTGCCCACTAGATGAACCAATATCGAGATCCACCTAAGCTGTCTAAACTCTCTGCATTTCTAAAGCACTTTTCGCTGTGACATGGTACATGAAATTAAAACACAAGAGCCAGGCTGCCAAGGGGTACCTGGTGATATATGCTTGTGCTTTCAGCTGTGAAGCGATGAGCTCTCCTGGAGTGGAAAGAAGGGGACCAGAGAAAAAATAGGCAACTTACATGAAAATTACTGTCAAAGGGAACCTTTTTCTTTTTTTTTTTTCAATCTCAACTAGTACCTGGTACATTTCAGAATTTTAGGGCTTTTTTTTCAGTGAAACTTAACCCTTCAGATAAAACAAAGCATGGGGAGTTTGATCCTCCTGATTTTTTTAAACACGTAATATACGTCCACAAGGAAAACCACCCTATAACATGATCGCAATAGCAACCGAAGCTGTAGAGAAATTAAGACTTCCCTGAACAGCGGAGTACTTTTCTGCAGTCTTAGGAAACACTCTTTTCCTGTCGTTGCATAGAACTTAGAAACTTCACAGAAAAGGAAGTTACAAGATGAGTTATATGTAGAAGACCTTACAAGATAAGCAAGATTTGAAACAAAGAAACGTACCATGATTGTCATTTCAGAGGCTGTCAGCTGACCCAGCTGGGCTGCCCTACAGCACACGTTAACGGAGCTATACCATCGCTTTTCCTTCCAGCGGGAAATCCCCTAAGATATTCTTCTAGTAAATTTGGATTTGTTTTCACTAAGTAGCCCAGACCATTCCAGAGATTCGAAATTCAAATCTTTCAATGTGACTATGACTTTTTGGTTGGTTTGTTCAGAGGATGAGGAGAGAAGGCTGGTTTGGCTTTATATGAGATGTAAAAAAGTATGCCATGTCAATGCAGAAGAGGTTAAAGGAGGAGTTAAAAAATCAGCCTTCGCTACAAAGAGGAGTCCACGATAATAAAACGAGGACTGGAACCCCAATTCCCAACCCCCTGCCATTTGGAGCAGTATAAGAGGACTCTTTGTGCAAAAACCAAGAAAACCCCTAACATAGCTCTGTTAAGCTGTAAGAGCCAACCTAGAGGAGTGATAAAGGGACTGCCTCACCAAAACCTAAGCACCAGGATGCTGATCCCATCCATTATTTCTTTACACATAGGAAGAGCCTAGAAGGACAAATTTTTTTGTTTTTGTTTATGAGTATGTTACGCACTGCAGAGCTCGAGCAGACGGGACTTTGCCAGGCAGCTGGGTCATCTGCTCACTGAGGTCAATGACAAAAAAAGGTCATTTCCAAGTCAGGAGATTTGGGTTGATAAGGTCCACAAACCTGACTGGAACTGCTGTTGGGTCACCAAATTGTGACAGTTTTATCAATAGTAAATGTCCTAGGGAGAGAACTTCCATCTTCTACCAGACTGAGCTAGGCACGAGGAGGAGGAGGAAGGGAAATCAGCTCCAAACTAGGAGGCGGCCAACATAGGACTTCAGAGTGGTTATACAGCTGACACTTGCCCCACGATGGAGTCGGGCACTAGCACAGGTATTTTCAGAAATATCTTCTGACTCCTGTGTGAGACCACACACATCTTGGCCAATTCAATATCCAAACCAAAATTACAGTGGGCCTAAAATATTGTTTAGTTAAAAGGCAAGCGGATTGAATGTACCAACTGAACACGCAAACCCAGTCAACTAGAAAAGCAGGGGTATGGCACTGAGAGGTACTTCCACCAGACTTCCAAGACAGTAGGTATTATGTAAACTCTCAAGAAGACTCAGTTAAAGAGATTATAAATATAACTCCTCTATTGGGGGGAAGTGCACAAACAAACCCCAGAAAGGCATCCTACGTAGCCACTTCAGGACGATTAAAATATTAGAACAACATACCATCCTTATTTGAAACATCTGCTGCTTCACATGCGAGGTCAACTTTCATAGGCTCCGCAGAAGTTTCCTTTTTCCCTTTGCATCCCTGTAAGACAAGCCAAAGGAGGAGAAAAATCAATACTTACAGTACCTGATTAATGTGTAATTCTTAGACTCTGTATGCCTGTGTTTTTTGTTTTTTTCTTTTTTTCTTTTTCTTCTGGCATGCTCTTACCTTTGTAGACTCTGCTGCTGTATAGTGGCAGCCATTTAGAGAAAAAGGCAGAGGATATAGGGGGAGGAACATGATTTGAAAATAATTGCTTGAATATTTGTAGTGATCTGCACTCTTTTTCTAACTGGGATTGTTAAAACCACATCATGGTGTGTGCTTCTGCCTCCCTGCCATTCTTTTCTCATCATTTTTGAAGAATCCCTTCTGCTCATAAAATGCAATATATGATGGGGACCTAATCACACTTATAAAGTTTCTCAAGCTAGCAGAGTAAAAATAGATACAGTGAGAATTCAAATATACTGGGTAGTCAGACACAAACTAGAATTTGAATTTAGGAAAATGCATTTTATCGCTGTAACTCAACATTTTTATCTCTTCTGCCTCAGGCTTGTCTGGAAGCTTAGATTCAATCTCCTAACAATATTCCAAATGGAAAAAGAAAAAAAGCGTTTTTGCTGTTTCGTACACAGTCCTCCTAATATTCTGCCATTTAGAGTGCCGAGAAGCCAATTTTTAGTTAATTTCCATCATGCTACTTCTCTACTTTTGTGGCCGCTATAAAGCCTGTTGCACCTATCCTGCGGTTGAACTACAGGATGTCAGGCTATTGGTTGCTAAGCAATCCAGACATTTGGGTGCTTATTATGAGACAGCAAAGTGTGGCAAGGACTGAGACAGCTCAAAAACGGTTTACTCTTGAGCTGAAATCATTTACCTCTTCAGCAACAGAGATTAAACATTCACGGTCCCACAAACACCTCCTTCACCTTTCTGTGGAAGTCTAGAGTGGGTTTTTTTTAATGCACTTCAGTGCACTACACTTATTTTGTCCATAAATGTGTATCTACCACTGAAATTTTCAGCCAGTTTTCCTTCTAATCATATCTGCAAGCCAATACATTGTCATGGAGATTTTAGTCTCCTCTGTGCTTGCTTTCTTGGCAACGCTGTTCTCACAGGCGACTTCCAGCACGCTACCTATGGTTCTACCAAGCATCGAAATGCTAAACTAAGGACCCAGCACCTACAGAAACCAACAAAAAATAGCCACCAGATAGCTCAGTTAGCCATTTCAGCAAGTGTGGGGAAAGTGCGATGGATGACTTTACAGTGATGGAGATGTCACCCATCATTTTGATAGAACTTACTTCTACTGCAGGAATCCTTCAGCAGATCATCATATCACCAGCTCCACCTCTTCTGCACTGGTGTAAATCATCTCCCCGTACAAACAAACAAAATGCCTGCAAACATCTGTGACTGTGATCCCCGCATGTCAGCGAATGCCTGAGATGGCCCCTTTGCAGGCGCATCAAATCCCTGACGCTTCTCTGGGGAATTCAGGAGAGCGAGCGCGATTTTCTCCTGAGGTTTCTTATGCACCAACGGGCCTAAGCTTCCCCAGCGCTCGCCCACAGCTCTTTTTCGCTCACGCAAAGGATAAACCCAGGTCACCCCACTGCGGAAGCGCGTGCCAGGAGCTGGTCAAGTACAAGGCTAAAAAAGTATGTTCAAAATTCCTGCCTGACGACTTCTAGCAAAATCAGTATGAAATTTGGGTGACTATGAAAGCACTCGTTAGTCAAGGAAAATACACTGAAATTTGGGTTGTGCTACATTTTGATTAGCTGGGGGAAACAGCTCTACGAAAAACAAAATTTCAGAAAACCAACCCTCCCGCCACGAGCGCAGCATGCAGCGGATGCAGCCCTTCCCACCCAGACACTCAGATGTCTGATGCAGGGATTCAGGATCCCTGCTAAATACCAATGCACTCCGACTGGCAGCTGATGCCTCTGAATCCAACTTTGCCTCCTCCAAAACACTGTCTATTAACCAAATAAAGCTGATACGATATGACAGGTTACGTCTTGGCTCCCAGTTTCTCTAACAGCCAGAGATACCCAGTCACTCTCCTGTTGTCAGCTCCTAAAGGCGCCCGTGATGAAGTTCCCAGGCCCTATCCCAAGATCTCCCATTAACTACCCGGCACGCCTGGCTTCACCATGCTGCCGAAACATTTCTCGCTTTCGATTTCAGAAATCCCTCATGCTAGGTGCTAGGTGAAGAAAGAGCCTAATTAAAGGGAAGACATTTTGTGCATATGCATGCGTGTGTGCACACATGTGCACATGTGCTAATTACGGCTGCCGTTGCAGGGACGAAAGCAGAAGGTGTCGAGGGCCCTCAATACCAAAAGCTACAGGTTCACCTCTTGGGGTGGGCAGCCCTAGAGAGAGGCTGGAAAGAGTAACAACAGCAGCAGCAAATTTGCAAAATTACTTTTCGAGAGGTTTAGGGCCACAAACATTGTCTGAAGAGCACTAATGTGTGTTCTGCATTTTCACCTTCCTTCCAAGTCTGAATAGCTGATTCCCCATCCCTTCTAGGAGGGGATTATAGCCGTATCATTGGTTTTTTTTGTTTGTTTGGGTTTTTTTATAGTGTCTGTTGATTGTCGGGTATTGTCAGCAAGAAAATGATAGTGGGAAACAACGTTCAGGGACAAACAAGGCAGAAGATATTTTAAACCTTAACAAAGCAAAGCACCGCCGCAAACATTATACCGTCCAATTTTTGGAAAGACTTTCAAACTTGGTTAATATAAATCTTCATTTCTTCCCTCGCTATTATTGTGGGCGGGGGACAGGAGCGTTCACTATACTGCCCATGCATGTGGAAAGGGTATTATCCAAAAAGCTTCTTTCCTGCCGTGCAGTAAAACCGAGTGCCACACAGAAATGAGCCCATTTCACATAAACAGCAGAACTCGATCAATACCAGAACCGCCTTGACAACCAATTTATTCTAGAGGCCTCCCCTCACCCCCTTGTTTTGATTGCTTCAGGTTAGAGCACAAACAAGCAAGGTATTTCGGGTCTCCAAGCAGGAGTTGAGAGTTACCGAAGGGGAGGGAGCCTGGAAGACACCACTTTCAATTTCAATTACCATTTCCAATTGCGCTCCTGACAGAGCTCGTTACCCGAACCGTTTGCAGGCTGGTTACACAACCAGCCTAGCACTAAGTGACAACAGGCTTCTGGCATGAGCAAGGATGGCTCCCAGCCTTTTGAAACGCGTAAGACAAATATATATCAGGATGATAGAAATCTCAGTGCTCTTATTTCATCTTTTTTTCTCCTTAACAGTCGCAATCTGTCAATAGTTCCACGTGGTTACAGCTAATATGCTGTTCTTTCTCTGGAGAAACATGGTGCTGGATTCACGTGCGATTCACGAGATTAACATGAAGATGTGCTGGTTGTTGGTACATTAGCATCAATTTTAGAAGCGCCCAAGTACAGAGGTCAGCCATCTATTCTCCACACCCCGATAAATCCTAATAAGTAAAAAGTGTAACCCTCCTCCTCCCTTTGCGCAAGGTTTACATCTATTTCAAGTGATAAAAGCAGGGAGCTATGCAGGCTTAGAGGCTGTAACACAGAGCAATCCATAAAACTCATTTTTACCTTGTCTTTGTAATCAGGAGAGAGGCAGGCTCCTCTCTGAGGTAATTCAAAGCAAAATCCCAATGTAGTCTCCCTAGAATCGATAAATCATTCCTGGAAGGCACCTGAACTAGGTTTCTGCTCTGAGCTGCTCACCTTAAGGGATTTTATTTCTCTTTGATGACTATTGAGGGAGCCTGGGAGATTGGGTTCTCTCGGCAGAGCCCAGCCTTCGAGACCAGCCTTGGCAGACTCCTCGCACCAGGTGTGGGTAAGGGATTGTCAAGTGGGCTCTGAATAAGGAACCTGGATTTCTGCTATTAGTTCCTAGCTTGTTATAAGGTCGTAGACTAGCTTTAAGACAAACAGAAAAACAGATTTCATGCATACGTGAGTTCTGTCAGTGCAATCTGGCAACGCCAAGATCACTTAAATCTTAAAAATACCCCAATTTTAGAAGTCTTGCAACTAAGTGAGAAATCCTGGCCCTAAGATCATTCTGAATACTTGAGGAAGAAAAGAGTTATAAATGATACAACAGTCCAGACAACTACTTCTATTTTTACAGGCAAAATGGCAAGGTCATTATTCCGGTAACATGACTGCCCAGCAATTTTGGGTGTTGCCACAGGAATTCCAATAAAAATACTATCCTGCCCATGGACAATTTGCAACCAGGGGAAATTCATTAGTCGTAAATTATTTGTAGCGCAGTTGCTTTGACTCATGTTATATACTTCAAAAAAAATCACCTTTGTCATTATGCAATATGAAAACCACATTGCAGCTATTCTGAACAATCCAGATTTCCCTGATTCATACCCACCGAATAAAATTTATTAGTTTGAGTTTAGCTGTAAATATCTTTCCTCTAATTGGGAGACTCTGAGAGATGGAGGCTCGTTAAAATCCAAATTTTTCTGGTTAAAATTTGAAGGCACCATTTTTCATCTGCAGCAACCAGAGAGACAGACAAAGCTCTTCTGACCCACAGCTGCATTGTCTTATCTGTCAAAACCAGTTCCATTTTTCTTGCTCTGCAAATAGCCAGAGCTGTTTTTTCCTTCTTCCCAGTCATTTCACTGTAGCTCTTTGCTAATGTGACTGTCAAGCCTTCATGTACTTTGTTTACCGCTGTATTTTAGTAGCATTATAAATGCTGCTTCACTTAGAAACTGAAGCTGTCCATGATACAAGGGCTCAGTTTGACACCTCCATCTGGGATGACTGACCCTTTTAACCAGACCAGATTCTACCACATAAAAGATTTATGCTGTCTTCTTGCATGGCTCTACATGCAAAACCACCCCACCTGCTGCTCTCGGGGCTCTAAAACAAATACAGCAATCGTGGTCCGTCTGTACTTTGTTATGTTCAAGTTGGCGGGCAGCTTTCCCCCTCGCTATCCT